GAGTGCATTGCAGGTTGGGAGTCATGGGCGAGATACTCGTGGTATTTTTCGAGTGCATCAGTTCGAGAAGGTAGAGCAGTTTATTTTGTGTTCTCCACATGATGATGTTAGCTGGAAAATGCTTGATGAGGTGAGTGATTCTTTTTTTTATTAACTAAATGTTATTTTTTAATTTTCTGTTTAGCCGTTGTAGCAAATGGCATCACGACAAGTGTTAGAGTTCGAATTTTGTTTGCGTTTGGATTAGTGTTGAAGTTTGAAATTTGATCGCGTTTGCTAAAATTTTTTCTCTTGATCTTGATGTGACGCACAGAAAAGTTTTTTGTTGGACCAGATTTCAGAAATTCAGAAGGTGTGTGTGCCATTTGATGTTCTCCATCAGTACATTTTTGTTATTTTGCTACTTTTCAAATGTGTCATGGCGATCCTAAAAGCTCCTGGAAGCTCCTGGGTTTATAAAGTTTAGCTTCATCAGTTTTGTAAAAAGTCGTGAGAAAAAGCGCTCTGAGAGCTCCTTGTTGATTCGTGTGGTGGCGCAATGTTTAGTGTTTTTCGGAAAATTTGATTTTCATATGACAACCGTTGCTAATATTTGCTTCGGTTTTACAGATGGTGGAAAATGCAGAAGAGTACTGTCGGACACTGGGCATACCCTATCGCATAGTGTGCATTGTTTCTGGTGAACTAAATAATGCAGCAGCAAAGAAGTTTGATTTGGAAGCATGGTTTCCCGGTAGCGCCGCATTCAGGTCTCTTTCTGAACTTTTTGACTGTGGTACTGTGACCTGTCATCATTTCATCGTAGCGTACTGTGCGCCTTATCGATGCAGTTGGCAACTTTTTGGGCATTTTTTTTTTCTTTAATTTTTAAAACAGTTATGGGCAAAGGGCAGTTTTTTCTAGGAATTCTTTTTAGCATCGTGCAAAAATGAAATTTATATTTTAAGAGAATTGGTATCCTGTTCGAACTGCACTGATTACCAAGCCCGACGCTTGAGGGTTCGTTACGGACAAACGAAAAAACTTGATGGTGAAGTGAGTCCCACGTTTTTTTTTTTGTAAATGTGATTTCATCGAAACTTAAGCTGAACACTCTGTACAGGTCAGTTTCGGGGAAAACTTAAAATTTTGCATCTCATTTTAAAAATATGATCACAGTAAACCGTCCAAACAGCCTTTCAGGTTTCGTACGTGCACATGCTAAATGGAACAATGTGCGCTACCACACGTGTGTTATGTGCACTGCTTGAGAATTATCAGGAAGAGAAAGGCATACGTGTACCGGAAGCCCTTAAACCGTTCATGCCCCATCCTTACAAGGACCTGATACCGTTTGTGAAGGAAGCACCCATTGAAGCTGATATGAAGAAGGCTTATTTAAATTAAATCATTAAGTTTTATCAAATAATTTGTCTATGTTGGGTTTTATTACAAGCGTCTGTTTTCTTCTGGGCATATAAATTTTAACGTTTGTCCCGAGTTTAACGTCGGCGGTGGTGCCGATAGTGTTCCCCTGTTTATTGTTGAAGACATTTA